CAGTTGATATGTGACTGACACATAGGTGTGGAGGATTAAATGAGAAAATGTATGTTAAATGTCTAATTCATAGAGGGCAATTTTTTCCTAAATCGGAGTTTAAGTATAGTTTTTTTGGAAAGCCTTTTATTTCTCAAAAAAAAAAAAAAAAAAAAACAAGAGACTCAGTAGGTCATTAGATAGCCATCAAAACTCAACACAAAGATGGTTTCCAGTTCCAGTGTGCTGATACCAGAGGAATCCAGGGGTAGTACAGACAGCCCACGCAGCTGCTAACCAAAAGTTGGAAGGTTCTAGTCTACCCAGAGGCACCTTGAAAGAAAGTATTGGTGTTGATCTACTTCCAAAACATCAACCATTGAAAACCCTATGGAGCACAGTTCTACTCTGACACATATGCGGTCTCCACGAGTCAGAATCAACTTGACAGCAACTGGTACTGGTATGTTACTAGGGGAACATGTATATTTTAGGCAGTATTTATCTCTTGGGTACCATTATATATGATCTTTATTAAGAAAATAGCTTAAAACAGTGCTTTCCAAAAGCTGTTCTTTGAAATACTGCTTATTGTTCAACAGATATTATTTTGAGCTCTGCTGTGGATTGAATTGTGTCCCCAAAAAAAGATATGTTGAAGTCTTAACCCCTCATACCTGTGAACATGAGCTTGTTTGGAAAAAGGGTCTTTGAAGATGTTATCAGTTAAGTTAACATGAGATCATACTGGAATAGGGTAGCCCTAATTCAGTCTGAGTGGTGTCCTTATAAAAGAGAAGAGACACAAGGAGAAGTGGTCCTGTAAAGATTCAACTACAAGCCAATGCATGAGGCTACCAGAAACGGAGAGACAAGAAAGGATCTTCCACCAGAGCATGGTCAGGTCTGGTGCAAACGGTTAAGTGCTGGACTACTAGCCAAAAGGATGGCCATTTAAACCCACCCAGAGGTGCCTTGGAAGACAAGCCCAGTGATCTTCTGAAAGGTCACAGCCTTGAAAACCCTAGGGAGCCATTCTACTTTGCACACACGGGGTTGTCATAACTTGGAATCGACTTGGCTGCAAGTAAGAACAACATGGCCCGGTCTACACACTGATCTGGACCTCTAGTCTCCAGAACTGTGAGACAATAAATTTATGTTCTTCCAAGCCACCCAGATTGTGGTATTTTGTTAAAGCAACCCCAGGAAACTATTACAAGCTCTTAGAACATGTTAGACAGTACAGTCAGTGTAGGGCTTTCAGTCGTCAATAAATAGACATTATCCCTATTTCAACCTAATGATGTTATAACAAATAAATTGAGGAAGAAAAAAATGTATAGGTCTTTGGTTGTGAGTAGCATAAAACTGCTCTCTGCCCAGCATCAAAATGCAATAGAAGAATATCAGGAATTCCCAAAATTGATGGGAAGCCAGCCTAGGAAGCTGGCAGGAGTTAAAGCAACTCTAGAGGGCATAGAAGCAGGGACAACAGGATAGTGTTGAGCAGAAATATTATGATCAGGTGTCTCTCACTGCAGGAATGGATAGACTCCAATCTAGTGCTCTTTGATGCTGTCAATTCAGATTCTAACAAGAGCACTTCCAGTTGTTCTAATTTGTGACATTTGCCTGTTCCTTAGCTGGGAGAGGGTGGGGCTCCTAATCACAGCCCCACCAGATTTAGGAAAGAAAAGTGGTTGGTGGGCCCTGGAAAACAACATGTATTCATACTAAGAAATAGGGCCCCAGGGTCTAATATGTTGGGAAGACACTGAAAACTGGATACCCTGCCACATTAATATATCAAAAACTCTGAGATCTTGCAGTAAAGAAATCTTTCACTTTCTTAAACAGGTACCCTAAAGTTCAGTTGAGTATGGAACACACACACACAGACACACACACCCTGCCCCTCACTCTGCTTACCTGTTAACACACTTTGGGAAATGTCTTGGAACATGGTGTTTGCAGCATTTTTCTCCCATCTGTCATCAGCTTGTCAGTGGATGGTGTGTGAGCAGAGCATAATCTAGTGTTATCAGAAAGCTTTTATGAAATCTGTATTTAACAGCTCTATAAGAATCAGAGAGGTTTGGATTTGTGTCTAGAAAGATCAGATTTTAATCTAAAACTACATTATAAAAGAAAGCTATGTCATAGTTCCTTATTCAACTCGAGAAAA